AGTAGGGCCAGAATATCTATGCCCATAAACACTTTGGATCCTATTCCATAGGAAACATGACAAGGAACTGGACTTTATCAAATCCATTCTAAGTCTTCTACATGGGGGAGAAGGATCAAGAGCACTGACGTCTGACATCTCTACATATCCATTGTCATTCATTTTTCTTCTGCCAGCTAACTTGATTTAATCCTGGTTACAGTTAAGGAAACAACAGCTAACTCTACGTCAAAGACTGCTCTCAGCTTTGAAGCCTTGGCTCTAGTTCTTGTAGCTGTGACAACCCAGGACAAGGACTTTTCTCCACACACTGTGCTCTCCCAAGAGGAGAGATGTCAACCTTACTCCGAGAGCTTTTTACCCAAGAGAGATGGAAAGGAGGACCAACGTGACTGAGGAGTTTTTTAAAAGGCCTTCTTTAATATGGTTTTTTGATGGTTCTTTACTAGCCAAGCTTAAGTGATCAGGAAAAACACATTTCATTAGTATTTTCTTAATAGCGATAGAGCTTCAGACCAATTGCAAATTAAGTCCCTGAGCAGGTGTGCTGGGTGACTTTATGATGTATCCCCTATCACCTGATCTGCTGTGTGTCCAGAAATGGTCCTGTAGCTCAAAGCTAGACCCAGAGAGAGAGGGGTAAGAGGAGTGGTGTAAGTTTTTCGTGGCTTATATTCAAAACATAGAGGTAAGAGTCAGTTCTCTCTGAGCTCGCAGCAGTGCACAGCGAGACAGACCAGGAACTTTGCTTTTTTTCACTGGTTTTCCTTGCTACCAAGGCAAGAAAAGTTTTCCCAGGACGGTGGGGTGTTTCTCCCTCTGGAACTGCTCAGTTTTCCCCCAGTCCAGGACACCAAGACAATCACCCAGGGTCCCCCCACAAGCTGCACACTGGGTGTGGATGCTGGAGAGACTGAGCCACAAAACGAGGACTCTCTGAATTTGCCATCTCTTCAGAGCAACGAGAGGTTTCATCCTTTAATATTACTCTTTTATGTTTGTGAGTACTTTGCTTGTGGAACAAACAGGTGGTTTTTTCCACTTTTCTCTAAGGAGATTTTTCTCCTGAACCAGCTGGTGGAGGGGGCTGCTGGAATTTGTTTTTTAGAGGAGACCCCGTTTGGGAAGTTTCCTCCCAAATCAGTCCCAAACCAGGACAAATAATTTGGCACCCAGTGTGAGGCTCGAGAAAGTGGAAAAAACCTGTACTGATTGCATTTTAGTTTCACGTACTTTGTATTGGAATTAAGCACCCAGTAGCCACCATGTTGCTTGAGTTTATAATGTCTCTCTGGTCCCCAGGTCTGTCTGAGGTGTTAATACCTTTCTGGTCCCTAGGCTTGTTTTCCTATCCACAGATAGATCCAGTAGTGTCCCTGGCAGGTAGAAGGGCATGGATTTGGGTTATTTTTGGCTATTTTGCTGGGTGTGGTGATAATGATTTATAGGGAAGCTAACAAAGGTACTGGGGTTTGTTCAAGTATGTAAGGTTTATGGTTTCTTCATCCTACCCTGCATCCTAGTTCCAGTAGCATGTTTTGGGGGTTTGTTAGTAATTGCATCCAGTTTGTTAGAAGAGCAGGGGATGAGGCTTTTTCAGTCTTTCCTTTCCTTCTTCTCCCTTAAATCTGTTACATCACCTTTTGAGAATGTTGTTTCCCCTGGATGGCAAGGATACCACCTTCCTGGTGTTTTACCTGGTAAGCTTCCTCTATATTGTTTGCAGCATGTCTAGAGTAAGAGCTGATATGTCCAAAGGAGCTGATGAGACCCCTGACCCAGTCATGGAAAATCCCAAGTGGTGTGGGGAATGGGAGAAAACGGGCCATACTCTGAAGGAATTTTCTGATCCAACAGCCTGGGAATTTACCCATGAGCAAATTCAGAACCCAGATTGTCTTTTCAGATGACCTAACAACTAAGAATCTAGACTTGGTACCACGTACATCCATGATGTGGTGAAAACTTGTACGACTTGGGCCACAAGAATACGCTTCTGCTTTAGCAATAATGAAGTGGGATGAAAGGGAAAAACCATGCTAGATATGGAGAAGCAGCTCCGAGCATATGCAGATGCTGTGCATGGCCCAACACATGCCAGAATTGCAGCTTTGGAAACACGTCTGCAGAAATTAGAAGATAAGATACAGGAGAAGAGTGTGAAACTCACGGAGGAGATTAAAGAGGATCTTCTCCAAATCACAGCTGTACAGATCAGAGGTTCTGGTACCAAAGGTAGATGCCTCCCAGATAGAGAGAGAAGGTACAGCCCACGAGCTGAGCTGTGATTCTTCCTGTGTGATCGTGGAGAAAACATGAGGAGATGGGATGGAAAATCTACTGCTGCTCTGGCACAACGTGAACTGAAGGAAGGCAAGACTCAGAAAGGGAGTTCCACCAAAAGGGAAGCAGCTCCAGTTGCCCGTAGCCAAACTGCCAGGTATGATGATGATGATGATGATGATGATGATGACACGTCCAATCCCCTTGAAGGAGCCTCCAAGACATATGGCCAGGGAAAGAAGGATAACCAGGCTTAGAGGGGCCCTGCCTCTAGCCAGGTAGAGGTTGGGGAAAATCGTGGTTTTTTGGACCGTGTGGATTCCTTGGCCTGGCACGTCTGAAACACAAAAATATGAGGCCTTGGTGGACCCTGGTGCACAGTGCACATTAATTCCTTCGAGATACATGGGGGCAGAATCTGTTTCTATTGCTGGCGTGACAGAGGATTCACAGGATTTTACTTTGGTGGAACTTCCTCTCTTCCTTCTAGAAGCAGTTACTAATGCAGCTGGCATGCTATTTGCTATTTTAATATTTTTTTTAACAAAGGCAGTACCTCACTGATTCTTCAGAGCTAGTCAGCATCCCCAAAATTAGGCTAGCCAAACTTGTTTTGGTAAAAAGAACAGTGCTTCATACTCAAGTAAAACACTGTGTGGGCAGAGTGTAGTGAAATGTATTTCACAATATTTTAACTCAAAACCCAGCTGCAGCTAACAAAAAAAAAAAAAGCTGTAGCCACAATGAAATGTGACAAGTTTCAAACCTAAAACAAAACACAGTTCATTCTGCCAGCTAGTCAGAGCTGCAGATGATTATCAAACCCCCAAACTTCACACCCTCCCACTTCAACAGGAAAAAAGATGGACACGTGAAAACAGAGCTTGATGAAGTATAGTAGTTTTAATTTCTATCTGTGTGTTAATTAGTTTAAACCTATTATTCTTAAACATCTTAGCTGACTACTCTGATAGCGCCAGAGAACCGCTTAAGGCAGATATTTATTTATATTTAGTTTATGCACTCAGGCTCCTTGGTCAACAGCCTATGCTACCAGACAGCCAAATTTAGATTTTACATCTTCCTGTCAATTTTATATGGAGTCTGAAGTTAAACTATTTACTGTCCTTGCCTGCAGTTGGTCTCAAGGAGGTTAAGATCTGCTTAAACACAACGTCCTGAATAAAAACAAGAGAACACCAAAGCTCTCATGGTGTTCTAGATTTGTATAACACCACCTGAAATCAAAGAACTCCACACAAAATGAGTAGAGAATGCCTACTGCAGAGATCTTGCCACCTAGAAAGGAAGCACGCGCAAAAAGAAGGGGGAAACATGCAGAGAATATGACACTCTGCTATCAATTCTCACAGTTTAAAACTGCAAAAGTCCAGGCCATACAAAATGGTTCTCAAAGCCTCAGCCCTGAGACAACTTATAAATGAAGTGGGGCTTTTCTTTGGAGGAAGGGCTCTGAAAAATCAACTCTCTGCCTCCAAGCTGCCAAAAGGCAACTCAAAAATCATTTTATGGCTTGGATGTTTACATCAACCACCTGGTGCCTGATTACTTGGTTTTGGCAATACTATGAAAATAAAGCTCAAGCAGTGCTAGTGGCAAGAGAGATCAGAATCTCAGCTCATGGGATTAAAGTAAATGCTACACCAAAGTTTGTACAGAGTTTTTCCAGCCCTGTGATACAGGTAAGCAGCTGGCTCCCCATACTTTACTGAAAGCATCTCCCCTTGAATACTGCCACTTGAGTATTCCACTTCAGTACTGCTTGCTAGATGTTTTATTTTGCAAAATAGCCTCATTGAAAAAATAATCCATGTTTTATTTGTATTTTGGATATCAGTATTTTGACTGGCAGAAGAGGAGAGGGAGGAAGTCACATTCCTTATGTACCACAGACATTCTGCATTAACACGCTGGGGTCACCTGCATGATTTTGAAAAAGAGCAAAACAGCAGTGGGATAAGTCAGAAAGGCACTGGATTAAGAAAGAAGGGTAGGTTAAAGTTAGTCAAGAACCACCAAAGGCATTTAAAGGAAACACAGACAAGCAAACGTTACAAACACAGACAAATTCCCTTGCACCTCTAGGCTGTGGCCAGAACAGCAATGGCAGGAGAACATTTCAGTGGTACTAGCAGAAATCAAAAACTGACTTCAACACAGAGCAGAATGGTCCTGCACCCAGGCAGCACCACGGGCAGTGTCTGCAGGGCCCTGGCCCTCTCCTTGGAAGTGCCTGCCCCGAGAAGAGGCAGAGTCAACGTTACTACAGTGTTCAAGGCAAAGCAGCCAACACTGCCACAGGTGAAAGGCACATTCAGAAATCCACAGCAACAGACCAGAATTAGGCCATCAAACTGATTCAAGCTGCAACCTGCTCAAAAATGTGAGTCTGACCCAGACAAGTTGCTCTTATCTATCTCACAGGTGAAAGTAAACACCTGAGATAGTAGGATGCAATTCGATTGTGGCAGGGAAAAACAACTGCTTTAATAAACTCCGTCAGGAGTAGGAGTCTGTACCACCAAACCTCCACAACAGCTGCATGGAAAGTGGTATTAAGATCTAAACTCCACCTTTCCACCCACCACATGCGGGACATTTGTACCATTTAACTGGGTGGATCAGGCTAACTCCTAACCTTCAACAAAAAAAAAATATAGACAGCAATTAATTAAAAAAAACCCAACAAACAGCCATTGTGAGAATTAAAACTTTTATTAGTGTATTCACATATTAGGCAAATGCAACACGCATGAAGCTTATCTCTTAGGTTCACAAGTTCTACCAATACATTAGTCTACTGGTAAAACTAGCACAAACGGGTAACTGCTTTGCCAATTTTTGAAAGGTCTGGCCCATTTTCTCAAGGCTTGATTTTTGGTATTGCTTCTATGCCCTAGTCATTATGGCATAAAAATATCCATCACTATCATCGATTCAGTCAAGTGATTAAAAGCTGTAACACTGGCCACATTTTGTTCTCAAAGCTAAGTTATCACTAGCTGTACTTACAAAGTACAAAACTAGTGTAATGGATGAAACAATGGAAAAAAACAGACAAAGGCAATCCTGCTACTGCCACAATAACAAAAGAATGACAGACAGCTAGATCACAAGATTGTTAGTAAGATGTGTATTTTTCAAGTCAGAATAACCCTCCTATACAGTTTCCCAACCCAGCCCCAACCCAGACTTATCTGTAGAATATATTTCAGAGTATTTTTAATATGGTGCAGCTGTAGTGTCCAAGGGTTCACAATAACATGCACTGTCATGAAGAACCTGGAAGTCCTCCTTCGCTGGTCATACCTCAGCAACCACTATTCTAGAGGTTTTGCAGAAGCAACTACTTTTAATAACAAGGCCCATTATGACATAATGAATGCATATGATCAGGTGTGTAAGTAAACTATAAAAGCGACTCAGATAAGAAATTTAAATTCTGTTACTGAAATATGTTAAGAAGCTGCATCTATTTAAAACCTAAACAAAAAGACTCTAGCTTACCCCGGGAAATGACTTTTCAAGGTATACGGCTCCAAAAACTAAACCCCAATATTTTTAATGGCATATGAAAAAATGAAAAAAATACAGATGATAAGACTTACTCAATGAAAAAAAATACAGATGTAAGGGGTAAGCCAATAACCTTGTGCATTTAATCCAATATTGAAAGCCATGGTAAATTCTCAGCCCATGAGAAAAACCACTCATTTCAATGATTCAAGGTACAAAAAAAGTCCCAAATTACAGCACTGCCAGCAATACTGCTGGCAACAGATGCATCAACTCAGATGGGTATCAAAAAGTAGACTGCTAGTGTGATGGACACTCAGAATTTATAATATGATTTCATTTTAGGCCCCATTAAGTATATAAAGTGTCTTAAGACTTCACAGATGAATCTCAAGACATTTCTTTCCCTTCTAATGGAGGGACTTTCTCTTTAAGAACGCAGCAAAAAATTCATCTTTTCTATAAGGAAAGCCTTTTTATGTTTAGGACAACTTGAAAACCTGCTTATATAAAAAAGAAAGTAAAAGAAAAGGGAGCAAAGTGTTGGAAGTTTATGAGATACTTGCCCCAATCAAAAACCAAAGTGACTATTTACGGGAATTAAAATGTAGAACAGCACAATACTGTGATATTTGAGATCATGATACATTATCTGTATATATACTTAGCTATTCATGTTATTGATAACCATTAGGACACTCAATTATATACCCAATAAAAAACACCATTAAAGAGTCTTTAGAACTGTCCCTTCTTTCTGAAGAAGGCTTTTCTATACACTAAATTTTCATCTAGTATCAGAGTATAGGAAACAGAATCCACAAGGTGCTTTAACTGATGAGACCTCAAGTGCTGTTTTTTCTTTTTTCTTTTCTTTTCCTTTTTCTTTTTTTTTTTTTCCTTTTTAAAAAACCTTTTTAGATAGTAAACAGTTCATGGGGACCACACACAAATACTACGACAGACGAGCTGTTATATTAAGTCTGTTGACTGGATTCGATTTTTAGCCCACTGGTGACAGAGGAGAGTTTTAGGACATGCTGGAGCAGCGAACTGAAGGGGAGCCCATCTGAGTCAATACTTTGTCCAGCCACTGTAGAGGCCCGTTCAGGTGCAGCTCAATCCAGCAAGGAGTGCTTGTTACCGTCTGCCGCCTAGAAAACAAAGAATAGGGAAAAGTCACTGCATTGGGTTGGTGTCACCAGGTTTTGTGAGCAGGGAAGGATTCTGCCACAAGCTTCCTCCATGTCAGGCAGAGGTATCCTCTGGCAGCTCCAGAGATGGACATGCTGCTAGTCAAGGCTGGGCCAGTTAGGAATGGTGATGCCTCTGGGATAACAGATTTAAGAAGAAAATGAGGTTGCTGCCCAGTTGTAATGGCCACAGAAGAGTGGGGTGAGAACACGTGAGAGGAACAACTCTGCAGACACCAAGCTCAGGCCAGGAGGAGGGGCAGGAGCTGCTCCAGGCACCAGAGCTGAGATTCCTAGGCAGCCCATGGGGCAGCCCATGGGAGGCAGCTGTGCCCTGCAGCCCATGGAGGGCACAGGGATGCAGAGATGCAACTACAGCCTCTGGAGGAGCCCACACCAGAGCAAAGGGATGCCTGAGAGAGGCTGCAAGCTTGTGGGAAGCCTGTGGAGAGGAGAACCCATGCTGGAGCAGCCTGTCCTTGAAGGACAGTGACCCACCCTGCAGAAGTTCATGGGGAATTGTTGCCCATGGGATGGACTCACACTGGAGAAGTTCATAAAAAATCTCCTGTGGGAGGGAGCCCATGGAGCCTGGGAAGGATTCCAATCCTCTCCCTGAGCAATGGCAGGAACAACATGTGAAGAACTGACCATGACACACATTCCTACATCCCTTTGCAGCTGGGGGAGAAGGTAGAGCTGGCAAGAAGAGAAGGTCTTTTAGGACTTATTTTACTCCTTATTATCTTGTTCTGGTTGTGTTGGCAATAAATTCATGCAATAACTGACTCAAGCCTGTTTTTCCCACGATGGTATTTGGTGACTGTCTCCCACAGTCCTTGTCCCATGACCCTTTTGCTCTATTTTCTCTCCCCTGTCCAGCTGTGGACAGGAGTGAGAGAGCTGCTCTAGTGGCTGCCTGGAATCCAGCCAGGCTCAACCCACTGCAGCCAGAAAGGAGATTCAGCTGCCACAAAATTCTGTATTTCTATCCATATCTAGTACACAGATATAAAAATCTGCAACCATTACCATAAGTGTTACTAAACTTTATCCAGAAAAAAAAAGAAAAAAAAAAAAAGAAAGCCCCAGAACTCCAAAGCACTTTACATATGCAAGACACATCAATAATTGCATACTTGTCCATAATACATCAAGAATATTTCACCCTGGGGAATAACACTAGCATTTCCTTCAAGTGCCACATCAAGAGCATAGTTCTAAAAAGAAATTCAGAAGTCAAGGTTGTCCAACTGATGCAGCATTCACACCACAAACAACTGTGTGCAGCTGTATCTCAATCTTCCAAGAGTCTGCATGCATAACTGGATTTGAATTTTGTAGACAATTGCTGAGAAATATGGAATACAAACCCTTGGCTCTGCACTGTCAGTGTGGCCAAACAGCACAAGGTGATCATAAGCTCTGGCTTTTTGGAGCAAATGACATGAGAAATGTACAAGGAAATTGGTAGATGTTGTCAGAAACACTATCAAAACACGGCGTGTGGTTATACTGTGCTAACTGATGGTATCTCAAAGGAATACCAAACTTTATCTCTGATTTCCTGTCATCTTAAACTTGTACATGTATCTTGTACTGTAACATCCCCACACCAACAACTGAAGTAAAAAGCGTGTTTCTCTTGTCTTCAATTCTAACTTGCCTATAATTTTCCACAACAGAAGCCCTTATTTAAACACCATGTAGCAAAATTCAGTAAAGCTGAAGGACTGACAACCATAAAAGCTTCATTCTCCATCCCATGTACCTTTTTTTCAGAGACCTGTTATCCAAACACCTTCCATCTCTTTGCAAAGTAAAGGAATCAGTATTGGACAGAGCAAACTCTGCCTGAGAAATCCTATTTCACTGTACCCACTCCAGGCATGGGAGTTTTCCCTAACTAGATTGGCAAGACTATGGTTGCTAAGCCAGTTTTTCCTAGTAATTCCAGCTATCCCAAGATTCAAAGGCAGTAGATTAGTCAGACATAAACCAAGCTTCTTCATTTTTACTGTCAGCACTGCAGTCCTTTGCTTTAAGGAAATCTGTTTATATAAACAGAGGAACTGAAAAGGCAGAGAGATTAAGACAGTGAAGATTGATTTCAAAAATTTCACATTTTCTAGGGGAAGACAGCAGCTGGGGTCTGTGCTCTTTCAGCACTCTACAAACAGTTATCTTAGCCCCAAATGCCTATGCCAGAACAAAGTGATACAACAGAAAAACAAATCTAAACCACAGGAAATACAGTTCCATTTACTCTTGAATCCTCTCCCAAAGAAGGAAATTCATTATTCCACCACTGTCAACTCCTCTACAATGTGTTTCACAACACACTTCCTCAAAATTTTACAACTGGTTCTGTTCAACAATGCTCGCTTTGCACCAGGCTGGTAAAAATTGATAAAATAGTGACAGTCACTGAGCAACCTTCTTAAAGCTAAAATCTCAGCTTCTTCAACTCACAGATTTCCAGTTCAAAGATCACTAAGACCCCTGCCGAACCTTCTTTAGAAGATGATCCTGGACCTGGATAGTTCCTGTGCTAACATGAACATTTGACTGGTGATCTGAAATTCTACCATCCTCAATTTGGGCCAGCATGTAACAAAGCAAAAAGCTTTGTTAGGTATTTTGTCTACCAAGCCTATAAAATATATCACCTTGCCATACCTGCACATTTATGCACCTATTCCTAAAATGCAAGTAATGCTTTGCCTAAGCCTATTCTATGAGAAATGGTTTTTTTCACATAATAATGAAGCACAGATGGTTTAACAAGAGTGATGGGGTTTACAGTGTTTCCTGATCCATTTTGACAAGTCAGATTATTAATTTAAATTCAAGGTTGTGTCACTGGAGACACCTCTTCTTGCTCTAATCCCAACTGCAGCATATTTACAAGATTTGTGTATCAGTAATTTATTAGCATCATCTTAAGAAGAGGTGCAAAGAAATGAGTTCAGCATGAATCAGTAACCAGTTTTTGTGCTATTTTGGCAGTGCTACCACTGCAGCTTTTTCAGTCCTATGGTCTACAGTTTATAGACCAACCACCAACATTCTCCCCAATCAGAAGTAACTTTAACAAAAGCCTCCCCACAGTTTTAACCAGCACTTACACTCTGTTCACTTCAAGATGCCTCTATATAATCTGACTGATTAAGCCTTTCTTCTGCTCAGATTTGAATGTTGTATTTAATTATGCCTAAGTGTATACATACTCCTTCAGAGCCAAATCCAATAGCTCTTTAAACCTGAGCCAGATTTTTTTCTTATGTACCTCTTCCTAACAAAGAGGTACCAATTTATTCCATTACTCAAATTTCTCATTTCATCTCATTAGACTATTATAAAATTGGCTTCGTTTAGCTGAGAAACCTCCCCCACATACTGACACTGCTATTTACATGTATGTACTTCAAGAGAAGATAAAAGAATCAACCCAAGTGGAGCCTACATACCATTATTCGACTTCAGAAATTATATGGCTTAAAAAAAACACATCATTATGAATTTCATCAGGGTATTGACATGTCAGACTTCATTCTTTCAGTGGACAATTTCTAGAGAGGTTTAAGAGAATTGTTTAAAACCACAGTTCTAGCTCTCCAAAATAATGAAATCTTTAAAACTGTTCAGTTAGAAGTCAATTCCTTTTCTTCTTGAATTTCCACACTGCATTAAAAACAGGCACTGTCCTCAACTACAGCTTTTCATTTCTGCTAATAGAGAACACAACTGGAATCTATTCAAAAGCAGATAGAATGCTTTTTTCTTTCCACTCAAAACTGTTTTTAGAAGTTTTACTACATAAACACAGTCATCTTACTCCTGCAAAGCTTTTTCCACTGCAAGTTCCAAAATACTTGCCATCCCTTAGATGCATGCTCTCCAGCTATTTCATTCTGCAAGAGGCATTGCAAGTCTCTCCGTTGGGTACCACCAACCCCACAGGAACTCATGCTACATGCAGAACAGGACAGAGACCAGAATGACTGCGAGTCTAACAAGCAGCAAATGATCTCTCAGCACAAACTGTGAAACTTCAAGATGATGGCGTGGATTTCACCACAACATGCAAGCCAGCAGGACTGAGCAAGGAACAGAACTTTGACGACATTCCTTGCTCAACAGTTGGCTTCAATGCAACACCAAAATCAGTTTATGGACTTTGTAACTTAGCAGTTCCATGGCTGAGGGGAGGAGGAAAAAAGGAAAATATGGGTTCAATTTGCATATCCACAATAGCAGCAAGAAGTGTGTATGCATAGCTTTCAAGCCAGAACAAAAACTATTAACTCTAAATTTAAGAACAAAAGGTTTTCTTTTCTTACCTGTATTCAGCCCCCCATCCTTTAACAAAGCTCATTCTTATGGTACACATTCTAGTAAGCTGATAAACTGCTTCAAAGCCCTGATTCACAGACTGAGCCAGAAGAGCAGCAAATTCTTGGTTATTGAAGATTTTTAGATTGCATCCTATAAAGAGTCAAAAAGGTACAGTCAGTGAATACGCTCGCGTTTGCTACACAGAAGCCTGAATCTATGAAGAAATTACAAAAAAAGGAAAGCAAATGTCATGCAGTGAACACCTCCACTGGGTATTTTCTCACGAGACCCCTGGTAGGATACTAACCTGGTGGAATTTTGCACACAGTTGCAGGATGCCAGCCGTATCTTTGATTACAGTTGGGGCTCTGAACGAAGATCGCGCTATCACTCAGGCACTCGGCAAAAACTTCTCCACCAATGTAATACAGACGCACTCCCCTTCCTGTAGTAAAATCCAAAGGAACTCTAGTTATGGTATGACACAAGTAGATCAAGGAACAAGGGAATTTATCTTTCAAAGAAGGCCGAGGTTTTTCTTTACAAAAGAAACAAAAATCAATTATCTACAGGAATTCAGTGCTGTGCTGACAGCTGTAGTAAGAGCAGAACACAATTAAATTGCATTTTTCTCCCACAAATGCACAAGGAAAAGCAGGATAATCTTTGGTCAAAAGTGAAAGAGCCTTCTCCAGCCATATAATGGCTTGTAACCAAGTCCAAGCTCAGCAGCAGTGTTCATAAAAACAGAATTAAAACTTGTGCTAATATTAAAGCATTGGATGTGAAGCAGCACAGACCACCATGGTCAAAAGAGAAAACACAAGATCACCACTGCAACACTCTCTGCTTACATGCACCCACACTATTTCACAACCCACTGCATACCTCTGTACTGCTTTAACAAAAACAATATGATTTCATTTATCTCTATTATTAAAAAAAAATTAAAAACTGAAAAAAAATCTTAATTGTCTGCCTTTAAACTGTTATTTTGTTCTGTCTCTCTGAGTGGAAAACAAATCCGCAGAGTTTATTTCTAGCAGAAAGTAAATAATGTGCAATTGATCTCCCAGAGAGAACTATTTATAATTAACAGGTACTTTATAGGCCATAGTTTCCATTTGCCTTTTTCATTAAAACAATTTTCCAAACAAAATGTGAGCTCCTCTATTAAAGAGTAAGAGGTCATGAGATTTTTGCTTTTCCTCATCATTGATCATTTTGACCAGTCAGCACAGGCACAGACTGGATTTCCACACACCTAGAATTTTATTATATAAGCATTTGGATTTGGCAAAAAAGGAGTCAGTTCTACAGAAAAGGTTGAAATTTTACTGCAGGTAAAAACAACAACAACCAAAAAAAAATAAAATATCCGTAAATGTTGTTAATGAAAGTACCCAGAAAAAAAAAATTAAGGTAGTTTACTGAAGAACTCGAAGTCAAGACACTGCATTGTGGAAAACAACATTCTTGACTAACCATTACAAAGAAAATCTTAATCGTGTCATAACAATGGGTTCTCAATAGCAGCTTTTCCCATTTCAGAGAAGAATTCAGTATTTCATCCTATCAGTGTCCATTCTGCATTTGATAAACTACAATAAACTATGCAACATGGGAATATTTCGTAATTAAAGCTTAAATTTCAACTACAAGCAATTCCGAATATAAATGTTGCCCAGGGCAGTGGCCCATTGAGGAGCCTGGGAGCCACCAATCTGCCCCCAGGGATGCTTTGGTGCACCATCATTTTCCAGGAGGCAAGAACAGCGAGGGGAGCTACAGGAGTGCCACACAGTAGAGTGGCTTCCTGCTGTGCTGCCCTCAGCCTGACAGCCGTGAGACTGCAGCTGCCACCAGCCACTGAGTGAGGAAAGCAGCTCCAGCCATCTCTACATCTCTTCCCAATTCAAACTGCCTTCAGTGGCAGAAGCTGCTACATTTCTCCCTCATTTCAGAAGCAGTGACTCTGTGTCTTTCCACTTCTGTTCTCAGCCAAAGAGACCAAACTATCACTGACAAGGCCTGAGAGAGATAAGGCTGGCTGATGGCTGGCTGCACAAGGGTGAAAGGAACCCAACACACATCCTACCGTGGTCATTCCAGATAACTTAACCCACAAAATGAAATTAAATAGTTAAAAGATCAGAGATCTTTACCTATATGTCGCCTTGTCATTTCCACTGTAGCATTTCTGTTTACATTGGAAAGCAGACCTAGACAAAATCGTTCTGAATTTGATGGATCTGTAAAGCCATCTACAGTCAGGGAAGGCTGAGACGCATGGAAGGTTTCTCCCACTCTTTGATTCAATTCATAATATGCTATTGAACACCAAAACGCAGGCTCCGAGTAAGTAACGGGTTGCAAGTCTAAAAAAAAATTTTAAAAACCAAGCTTAACACAGATTTTGAGGCTGAAAGTAGATCAATCTACCCTGCTATTTGTTTCTCCCAGAAATGACAGCAGTAGTCTCCTCAAACTACTCAAACTATATTTTGCTTGCTGTCCTTTTTACCTACTTCAGTAAATAGAATGGAATTCAATCTTCCACACAAGGGAAGGAGGAGGGGAAGAAGGGGTGATCTAATCTGACCACAGCTCATTTAGTTCAGTACTTGCATTTTGCTCGGCACAATGATTAAGCTAATGGTGCTCTGAGCGCCAGACGTTGAGACATTCCTGTTGCCTTTTCTGTAGCTTGCAAACATTTTGGCAGCATTAAAGAAAAGATTAAACTATCAAACACTGAACAACAAAAAGGAAGAAAAATATGAAAATCACGTTCTCTTGTATTACACTGTCTCTTTAGATAAAGGTAGTTCTAAGCAACTTTGTTGTCCCCTACTAGAGTATCTTCCCTGTGTACCTTCAGGTTTTTTCTTCACTGCTTCCCCTTTTTACCTACCCTAATTACTTACTCAGCATCCTGCATTTTCCTGTCACATCCTGTCACCATTTCTTAAACAAACCCATGGCAATCTGATCTTCCTGAGGCATTTACACAGATACACAGCAATGGCACTGGATCAAAGCAGGTGGGCTACTAATGTGGGAGCAACAACTGTGCTGTGGTTACAGGTGAAACAGTACATGAGAAGAGCAGCAGAACACACATACAAGGGAGACAGCAAGTCTGGGCAGCATTACAGACAGGCAAACATCCTTTAAAACTATTCATTTTATAAATGCTATTCCTGCACACATAGGGATAACACTCTCTTTGCTACGAGCTCAACAGGTACAGAAATAGAGTAATTGTTAACAAGTGATTAACCCAGCCCCATTATATTTAACATCAGGAAGCCAACCCAACAGTTCCCTCTTAATATAGCTCTTAATTTCTTACAGCACATTTTCACTTTTAAAGTAATTACATATATAATGAATAGTCACTACACATGGAGAAATAATTCTAAGTATTTCCAGCTTACCCAGGCTGTGATTAACTGGAGAGAGAGTACTAGGAGACAGCTCTGCTGGAGATCCTGTTGAAGCAAGACAGACAAGTTTCAGAGCAAATGGTTTTTGCCATTTCAGATCAGCAGGCATAACCATTATCGAGATCAGGTTCACAGTGAAGTTTTTCAGAGTAAGAAACCTCAGTTTTCTGGAATATGACACACTTATTCTGAATTAGGCTTTCATTCAATTTTCCAGACTTCTGGGTACCCACCCCTCCTTGTAAAGACTCTGTTAACTTGGCATTGTGTTTGGCAGAACTCTGCCACTTTGTGCACTCTCAACGTTATTTATGCACTTCTCCAGTGAGAAGGTAGTGACTTCCCAAATTCAGTAAAAGAGCAGATAAGAAAGAGTGGATGAGACAAGAAAGACACTGCCTCTCCATTCTCAAAGGAAAAGGTTTATCTTGGAAAACGTCTTCCAGTATCTGAAGGGAGTCTTCAAGAAAGTTGGAAAGGGACTGTTTAGAAGAGCAGGTAGTGACAGGACAAGAGGGAAAGGCTTCAAACTGAAAGAGGAAAGATTTAGATTAGATATTGGGGAAAAAAATCTTTATGCTGAGGATGATGAGGCCCTGTCACAGGTTTCCCAGAGAAGCTGTGGCTGCCCCATACCTGGAAGTGTCCAAGGCCAGGCTGGACAGGGCTGGGAGCAACATGGGGTAGTGGAAGGTGTCCCTGGTGGAAAGAGACGGTCTCTAAGGTCCCTTTAATCCCAAACCATTCTATAATTTATGATTCTATGATCGCCAGAAAAGAGCAAGCTAGATTTCCTCATTTGAGGAAATAGTTCTTTCCCAGAAGGAGGAATTTAAACACTCAAAAACATGAACTTTTCAACACAATTTGCACACAAGGTGGCAAAATACAGGAAGGCTTTCACAGAAACATTCCTACAGTGGCTGCTGATGTCATGCTGTTTTAATTAAGATATTTATTGTCACATAGTGGGAAAATATTGCAGTTCTTACAGAAACTAGTGCAGCTGATTCCAACTTACTGAAAATGGTTGCTAACATTAGCTAACCAAGCACACTCAAGTCTGCCAGCACACAGCAGGAGGTTCTTACCCAGCACATTAACTGTGCTCTGTCCAAGTCTAAGGCCAGCCATATTATCTAGAAACCCTTACATACAAAGGCACAAATGCTGCTACTTTTGCCACAGAGCCTTCTACACAAGAATTAATCTGAAACATGGCAAAAGTGGTAAGTTTGTCAGAATTAGAGACAGGTTCTCGGAACACAGATTGCCTGTAACTTGTTTGGGCCAACAGACATTGTGCTCCAACGAACCTATTTACCAGGGAATGGTTGAAACCAATAGCTATTAAAATCTATTTTAAGGGTTTCTGGTGAAGTCTTAATTAGACTTGTATACTTCTGTTACAGAACAAATATAATATACTTAATATGTCACAGAATGTTTTAAAAGCATTTCCCTGGCAAAAAGTTGTTTTGTTCATTAAAGACTTAGAGTGGTATTTTAGGCATAAAACACCAGGTTTTACAGAGGAAAACTGCCACCATCTTTTGGACTGAATTCATGCTCATATGCAGAGGGAACACAGCTAGTAATATAAAGCCTTGAAAGTAATGAAAATTACCTGTATCCATGCTTTGGTTCAGCTGCTGGTCACTTGTTTCTCCATCTTCACTGATATATCCTGGAGGAGGTGTTTCTATTAAAAAAAAAAAAAAGAAAAACCCACCAATTTGTGAAATGGCTAGGGAAATTTCTGTAAGATTTAAGTCTTGTGTCATCACATCTTCATGAGCTCTGTTACACCTACCTGAACACTGAATCTGAATGTCATATTGCTGTCCCTTTTTCCTTCAAGTAGGACTTCAAACACATTACCTGCCTTATTGGTATGTAAAATGCATCTTCTTTTGTATGTCAGTCAATTGCTGAAATATGTTATATAAATACCAGAATCCTTGTTTGTTCCATTTAAGACAAGATGCTGTCACTACAATGAGTAATAATTTTGTAACTGTGATCAACAGCTTTCATATTTAGTAGAATTACAAATGAAAAAAACCATCCGGTGATTTCCACAAAAAAAATAATGTGAGCTGTCTTTATGTAGGATAACCATCATATCAGATACCCTCCCACACCTTACTGAAGTTCTTAGATTTAAAGGTTGTTTTTCAGTTCAGTCGCCAAATATGAATTTCTTCAATACATGACAGTTGATTTGACTCACATACAACTATATTAACATAGAACTGCACGAGTTCTATTATTATTACCTCTAATACTTCTAAGCTCTATTAAAACTATCAGCTATTCTTTTAACTAGCTTTCTTTAAGGACAGAATTTCACAGACCAAAGTAAATTCAGTATCAACTTTGAAGCGTTCTGATACCAGAAACTGTGTCTAATTCCTCAGAAATATCTTCAAAAACCAGGAGAGTATGCATTTTCCTCTTCTCCATTCAAAATGTTCTTTGTAATCCAGATAACGAGTTAACCAACTGCCTTTCAGGAAATAATTTCCTTTGAACTGGGCAAATGTCTTTTCCTAGATATTATAGGCAAAACCTGTGTTTCTTTAGTGAAAGTGTTTGAAGCTAACTATCTCTACAATCACCTTAGAATTGTCTCTGAAACTTCCAGGGGTTAAACACCTTGAATTACATTATTACCAAACAGTAGAAATTTAAAGATAAAGCCTTTTTGCTTAAGAAATAAAATAAAATTATAACAAGCATCATGTCTGAAATGTACTGCAATATTGTGAGATCAGAAGGAAACTACTGAGAGGAAACTAGATTAAGTCAGTTGATTAAATTAAAATGAACTTAGAGAATTTTATCTTTGATTCATTCTATGTGCTAAATATAGACATGACAGATTTCAAGTGAGAATTTAAAAGGACGATTAAGGGAAATCTTCACTAGTAAGAAATATGATAACAAAAATTATGCCCATTTTGAGATTTTTAATGCATTCATTGTGATAAGGGGAACTCCACCCTTCTCTAAATCATCAGCTGTAGTTAAGCCCACAGCTGTGGCAAAAGGTCAATACACATTTCCAATCCAGCCCATGGCTCCCATTTCCAGTTGTTAATCTAGGCTCTTTAGCACAGATTACTTTCCATGTCTGGTGTCTGCCCAAACAGAGATTTACTCCACTTAGTATTATTAATAGTTTAGGGTCAGAGGCCGAGCACCACACAGCTGGAAATGAACACTCAGGTGGGCACTAAAAGGCTTGAGTGCTGCCAGAAGTGTGGACAATGCAGCCCAGTCCATCCAGAACCTGAACTGGAACATGGCTCCCAAAGGCCACCCTGCACCTTCAGGACCACCAAGCTCTTTTGCAGATCAAGTACTGAGACAGGACTGGGTGCAAAGCCACCAGATGTGAGCCTGCCCTGCTGCTGAAGAAAACAGTTCTCTGAAGAAGGCTGTCAAGGCTTATCAGAACCCAGCCAAGCAGTCCAGATTAAGTCAGCCAGGTCAAATAAAGTAAGATACCACCATATGAGCACAAGAGGAAGGTGTCAGTGACAAAGAAGGAGGTGTGGTTACCTGCATAAACATTTGAAGATCATGTGAATTCCTACAATCACCTTGAGCAAACTTCCTGCAAATAACTACTTTAGCTCATTTCCATAGCACTGGATTTGCAGATGGTGGCTTTCCAGTAAGCTGTTTGCAAATGTTACCAAAAGCACTCAGTTTGAGTGAAAAAAGTATACACAAGTTAAGAAAGCAACACCAACTTCTAGTACCTTAAATTACTCTGTAAAGGTGGCAACAGATGTGGCCAAAATAAACAGAAAGGTCAAATTAACTGACTGCTTAATGCCATTTCAATTCTTGGATATATTTAAAAAACACACAAGCAACATTCTGCTTAAGACCTGTAGGTACAATTTGTACATTGAACATCATCTGAGTTTTGGGGCAGTCATCTCATTCTTTCAGAGACTCTAGATGTGAATTTTCAGTTTTTTCGTAACTGAATGCATTACACATTTACGAGCAAACTTCAGCTTTACTTGGTTTTACACTCCAGGCGACTTCCTGAAGAGATAGGAAACAGGAAGCTGGGGCAGGAAACAGGAAGCTGGGGCAGGAAACAAAGGTCACTGATTTTATGTTTCAATGAGGGCAACAAGGTTTCGGATCCAGCAGATTAGCGTTGTCGTTTGTTTTGGGGTGGAAAAAGGCGAAAAGAGGGAGAGGAGAAATTCTTTAACAGTTCAATATTATTAGGTTGTTCTTTCATACTAAAAAGACAAAACAGTACACACACAACAGTAAGAAAAAGCTAAAGCAGATCACTACCGATGTGAACTAAGATCAAGACACTTCTTAAGTCATTGCTTTGCAACTTAAAAGTTTTCTCCACATATTACCTAGGATGAGATTGAGTAACAAACTGATGCTCAATCTACAACACACGGCATTTAAGCAACCTCTGTATATTTGTGAAAGAGCCTTAAGCATAAGGTGAAGATCTACTTTGCACTTATTAGCATTCTGAATCTCAAATAAGCTACTGAAACCAAGTAAGCTATTGTGAAATGACAGCAATATGGTTTCATGCAGGATCATGTTCTGCAAATAACAGTGTTTAGGAATTTCCACTGGAATCAATACACAAAATCAACTAAATCTAATTTAGCGGTGCATATTTCAATTAATTTGATCATTTACAAGGAAGAAATGACCATTTTTGTTCCAGTGGCACAATGTCAGAACACACTGCCTACAGTGGGAGTCAAGAAAATACCTGGTATGTAATTGCTCTGTGGTTCAATCCCAGCTGGAAAGTTAGTGTTCTCAGGAATGGAATGAGTATAGTCATCCAGAGGTGGCAGCTCCGTTAGGATCTCAGTGTGCCGTGGCACAAGCACAGGAGGCAAGACTGGAAAGGCAAAATTCAAAAATCATTGGTAACAAAAATACACGATTTTGTGAGATAAAAGGAAAAAAATAAATCTAAAGCATCTAAGTTTCTTCAGATGTTTTGAAACATTCTGAAACTCAGCACTGCTAAAACTATGTTTGCACAGCTAGTTACTGGAAGAGATGGGATTCCTGAGGTGCCTTAAATAAGACTATTCCACATTAGCAAAGATCAACTGTTTTGTCCTCTTCAGTTTGAATTGCACCTGGCCAGCTGGAAACTGCTAGCAGTCCTGGAAGTGTTTATAAACAGATTTGTAAAGATTTTGCAGTAGCTTTACTATTAAAAACTTTCAGGGATATGATCTTAAAGAATCTTGTACTTCTATCAGAAGAGGACATCACATTTCTCTTATTTTCCACTTAAAACAATACGCTGAGCAAACACAAAAAGACGCTGCTGCACAAAGTCAGAAGCAGTCCTCCTACCTGGTGTCTCCACTCTCTGGTAGTGGTAAGGGTTTACACATACTTCATCCTTTTTAAGATTAAAAGCGTATTCACAGTTTTCAATTGCCTTAAGTTCATGGTGGCTGTGAAGGTCTGGCCAGCGCCACAGGCGGCAGTAAATGACATGTGGCAGTCCCTTGCGGTGAGACACCTGCAGACGGCCATCCAGAGATCTGCAGGGGAAAGATGTGGAGAAGCGTTTACAGACTGCCTCCATCACTCGAGCAACAGAGGACACACACGGGTAGCTCATTCTCAGAATTCAGTGCCTTGACTCTGCTAGTGACATTTATACTCTAGTTAAAAGGCTTCAAATGCAATGAAAATGATGGTATCAAGCAATGTCAACTCATTTTTGAGATGCTCAAATTATTGCCAGTGAATTTAGAGTTCGTTAAAAGCCACTTACATCCAACCAAGTATTTAGAATGATTGCTTCATATGTATTTTTTTTAAATGCAGGAGACAGTTGTTAAAAATAAAAATCACACACTTAACGGTCCCTTCCACTGCTAAAGGCACCTCAAGGCTTTGTTGTGGAATGGATGCTTTATGGTTTTAAGCATAAGAACTCCCACAGGACTGCAAATAAGCCTATAAGCAGTCAGCTGCCCAAGTGATCCACATGGCAGTATAACTGCAATGCAAAAAAACATGAATGCACATCTTGTAAGGGCTGTACAGTTTATCTTCTTCACTTCATCTGCCTTGCTACCAGCTGAAAATGTTTTGCTAGTTTTAAGACAGACTGCATATGCTTACACAAATGCAGATGTTTATGATTGTTATGGGATGGGAGACAAACCTCAATACACAAATCAAGTAATGTGACATGAAAAAATAAAGACCCTGTTTAGAATTTGCCCACCATTAAGTACTGAAGAATTTACAAACAATTCTTTAGTAGCTCGTATCTGAGCCAATTAGCAAGATTTAACTGAAAGCTTGTGGCATACAAAGCAGTTTAAACACTTTGTAAGATTAGGTTTAAAGAATTAAGTTTTCCAACTTTGTTAATATAAATACCACATCAGAGCTTGCATTTAACAAGTCTTCCCATTCTTTCAATAGCACTGGCATGAAAAAGGAATAATTGTAGAATTAAGAGTTTCATTGGTCAAAACATCAGCTGTGAACACACTGATTTCTACACTGGCAAGGAAATACTTTAAAATGCTGTACCACGAGAGGCCTAGGAATCATTTTAGTCTATTTTATGGCTAAAGCATCCCATTACAGACCCTCCAAAGCCAATCCCTCCCACAAGATTTTTATGATGCGAGAGAGGGCAGAATATTCACCTGGTTTGTTCAGAGAAGCTGTAAAGGCCTGTTGTATCCCACTGATCTATCGTGTTTGGTGTACTCAGTCCCCAAATTTCAGAGCAAGTGCTGTGCATAAATTGAAAACAAAAACAAAAAATTGATATGAATATGGAACATGGTTATTCAAAACACCATGATGTCAAACATGGAAAAATGTACAGAATACTTCCTTTCACATAGAAGATAGAGCACTGTTAGACTGGCATTTAAACTGACATCTCATGCTATATTTTCTATATGAAGGAGGCTATCAAAATGGAACAAGTGATTCAAGGTAAATGATAAATGTTTTTAAAGGTGAACAAGTTCTCAGGTTTTAAGTAATTGATACAGTTGCAATGTCCCTTAAAACAGGCAAAACTTCCTCAGCCTAGTTCTTCACAAAATTCAATTTTAAAAGGTAGTTTCTGGGTTGATTTTTTTGGTGGGTTTTTTTTTTGTTTGTTTTTGTTTGCTTCTAGACATAAACTGCCCTAAGACTTCCAATAAAGGCCATGGGTATCCAAAAGTGAACATCACAATCTAAAGTTCAAGTACCACCTCCTCAACATTAATCCCATTTTCCAAGCACACAATAATTTGCGGCTATTCCGAAAAACAGAAATTCAGACTCTGAAGAAAAACACATTATAGCTGATACTTAACTGTTTTCTGTACTCTCCTTGATTAAACAGCTAAACATTCTTTAACACAGTACACAAAACAGAATGTTTAACACAGTTTTACAGTGTAGTACCTTAAGATTCAACTATCACATAACAACTTTAATTGCTAAATCAAGCAGGAGAAAAGGAAAGACAACTAAGCCTTTACCAAACTGGTTCAAGGAAGAGATCACAATGGGAGAGATAAAGGAACATTCAGTCATAGACACAAACTAAAGCAGAGGCAGATTTAAACAAAGCAAGAAAACAGTATAGGATTGTAAACAGGCAGCAGACTTTCAGAAGCATAAGCAAAACTCAGTTCTATAACATACTTGCTCAGTGACCACTGAAAACAGACAGTTTGTTTTATATAAGTAACATACAACTAGACCTCGCTCCTCAGAAATGAAGAGAATTTGATTCACAAGCAACTTGAATGTCTGCTTCCTAATTATGCAGCCTGAAGCTTGGCTGGCTGCTACACTACCTTTAAAATTAACAGCCTCTGAAAAGTTGCAACAGGAAGAATCCAAGGTCACCAAACTTCTGGTTTTCAATATAAGTGTTGTGACTGAAATTTAAACGACCAAGTTTAGTCAATACACTCAAGTTTGGATTGAGTGCTTAAGAAAAGGAAAGTGGGGTGTTGGTGTTTTTATTTCTTCTCATTACACAGGGAAAATTCATTATTGTACAAAACAAAAGAGCAGACAGGACATCATTGGACTTGAAGCCACTTTCAGGAGTGACAATCACCTCAACTCCACAGTGACTTTTAACAAAACCTAAGTGATGGCAACTGGTGAAGGCAATGAAAAGGTCTTTCTTCCTTCTTGCCTCTACCACACACCTCATTTCTAATGCCATCCCAGTGAGGATGAAATGTGCATGACAGACCCAAATTAATAAACTGGCTATCTGACCAGAGAACAAACATGGCTGAAAGTACATGTTTTGAGTTAATTTTCAGTCAGATCACTTCTATTAACTGTAGTTATATGAGCACTACAAGGAAGGAGAATGTAACTGTGGGTGCAAACAGCTTGCTTTTATCACAAACACATTAAATAAAATAAAGCCTTTTCATATATTACTGATTATAGGTACAAGTAAAATCTTGTACTAGATGACTTTGCCTAGTAGAGAGCAGCAGAGAGCCAGAGATGAAGGCCCATTCTCTGGCACAGATCCAGCTCTTCAGAAAAGCCAACAATCCTGAAAAAGTTGCATCCACGTCGGAGTCAGGCAGCATCACAGCTCTCCAGAACAAGTGGGCAAAGAGGAATCCTGCCCATGGCTGCATCAGCAGGGCCTGCATCCTCTCTTTTCCATCCTCCTAAGATGCAGTCAGAACTGTGGGCTGCCAGAAGCTTTGCAAGGATTGAAGTAAGCGCCCTGAAGACACTCGGGTAGCCTATGGGACACCACAGGCAGCACAGGGAGCATCTCTGCACCGTACTGTGCCCTTAAATATGCACCACTACTGCTGCTAAAACAGATCATCCTGTACATGCAATTAGAAGAACAATCAGCAGACACGAAGCCTGCTGCATATTAATTGACATAGTGAGCTCTGACAGCTCACTACCTTTGAGCAATGGATCCTTCATACAAAGCAGTGCTCAAAAGCTGATGCTGTCACACAGATTACACTTCCCAAAATTGTGGGATGCATCACTGGTGTAAGCATGACATGCCACGCATTTGGTTCACGAGGCCTTTAATATGGCACATGCAAAAGCAGAATTTCATATCCCTTGACAAAACAAGATGAACATGAACAGTATTTTATACTGCTAACCTCTTCTCTCTATAAATATCCAAAGCTGACAGCATATTCCACAAGCTAAGGAAAGACAAACAGTATCCTGAAGCAGACTGTGCAACAGAGCCATAGCTTGGAATGAAGCTCAAAACACCATGGAGAGAGGGCAAGCCAGGAGGCACAGAAAAGTGATCAGTCAGAGCAGCAAAACTGCTCCAAAGCCATCGGTTTACATGGCATGCTATCTTCTGAGATGCATATCTGCTTACAGCTGGGATTAGTATTAGTGTTTTACTGTTTTATCTACCAGGACTACACTTAAACTCCAATAAGGCACAATCAAACACAGGAGAAAGAGCCTACAGGAAATCATTCCATATGATCAATGAAGTAAGCTCAACAAAGCTTTTACTGTTTGCTGGAAGAAACGTCTAAAGAAAGAGGTTTCTCTACTTCCTGCTGACATAAAAGATCCATTGCCTACAAGGTGCAAGATCCTCCTCACCACATCACCCAGGCAATAAATCAAGACTCTTAAAATTCACACACACGCACATCAGATCAAAACTGAATTCCTCACAACCCTAAAAAACCGTACTTCACACACAGTACTTCCATGAAAGGCCACAGTATGTTCATTCATACACAAGCCATTGCCTGACAGAGGGCAAGCATGTCTACTCATCCCTGAAAGGTGGTGCTGGAAAGATGATTGAATTCTGAAAGATGTCTTAACCACCACTAAAACCATCTGAAAGTAAGACAGGAGCTACAGATTTTTCATAGTGCAGAATTACTGCCTTAAAATAAACAGGAATCACTCGCTCCTCAATCTACCTTTCTGAAACATCCAAAATCCTGTGTGATGCGAAGAATCCTTTCCGTGCCTTAGGTTTCAGGAGAATCAAGTACTAACATCTGTAATCATAAGTCAAGCCTTGTCTGGAAATATTCCCAGGCCCTGGAACATGATCACGTACGCTAGAAAGCAGCTAGGACATTCCCCAGCACCAGGCTGTGACAATTACTGCTCTCCCACACAATTCCCAGGTTTGTGAGTCACACACCATCGGGACTCACTTACACTGGACAATTCAGATGCAGCTCCCCTGCTCTGCTAGCTGAGGGTTGAAGAGCATGGACAAGGCAGTCCTGAGCCAGTTGGACGATGCTTGGGAATGTTCCCAGGCACGTTTAATTTATTAGGAGGGAGGTAGCCAAGATGTATCACCATTTCACCTTCAGTAAGCACTCAAGCTGAAGCCTGGAAGCACACTTCAGGCTTTGTATTTTACCAAACAAGGGGGTTTGGTTTTGAACTCACTGTACAATGTATCACTGGTAAGCCATCATTGTTTTCAAAATATAATTTGGCTTCTGTGTCGTTGTACCTAAATCCTTCCTGTGCAGACAGTGTTTAAATATACTCGAAAACACAAGTCCAAAGTTAATGTACTTCCTCTCTCCTGGATGCTTTCTTTCCAAAGAGTATTTTCACTGCTGTTCTGAAAACAATTTGTTGACAGAAACAAGTCAATATTTGGTCAACAATACAAAAGCTAGTTTTTTGTCTTTTCAACACTTTTCAACAGTAGCTCCCAATAGCAAATCACCATGTTCTGTGGCCTTTATCACTCTGTGCTTGAACAGCAGATTGTGACTTTTGCAGATCCCACAAGTAAGTGGATTTATTCTAAGGGACTTCAGGGATATAAAGCACCAATTTCACTCAGCTTCCCAGGTGATGTGGAGACCTAACAAAAGAAAATTTCTAGAGAAAGGAGAAATGCTGAAAAAATACTAGCAAGGAATAAGAACTGCTCTTTGAGACCCAGGTACTTTTAGGGAGAAGTCCAAATCTAGCAGGTATGTGGTTAAGCTGCTACACACTTTACCTGGGACAACTGAAGTTTGGGTCTCTAGGAATGACCAGAGGACTGCTGTGGTATAAAAAAGATCAGACAAGTTAATATATGGTGGAATCAAAGCTACTTCTGTCAGAATCTTTCCCTGAATGGAAAGTGTTGTAAGAGCTGGCATTTCAACCTCACTTTTTATCTGCTTATAAGGAGCATCATCTCTATGATACTGTGCAATTCTGGCAAGAATAATTTTTAATGTGGCTATCAGCTTGCAACAGCACACAGTCTGCCTTCATTTCTTCCATTTCATCATTTCCTTTAACAGGAAAATCTCAGTTCCAAAAAACCTGTACTCTGGGCAAGAAGTTACCTACACAGCAATGAGCTGTAGCAAGGCTTCACAATTTTCAGACAAAATACCAAAACTGACTGTCTTTATTCAGTAAGACAGAAAACACCGACACACACCAGAAAAATGTGGGCACAGGAAAACCCCAACTATTGAAGATAATCTGGAAGTACTTGTATTGCCTTATCTACATGACACAGATGATGTTCCCAGTCAGTATTCCACTACCTTTGTGGAATAACAGTTAATGGTAAGTCTACTACAAAAACTGAACTATCAAGTCCTGGTGCAAATACAGATAAGTTTTTGATCTGCTCATGACAAATGAACATGGACAGTTTCTGCTACATTCATGAGTAAGCAATAAAATTGTTTTAATGTAGTGTGTCTCTACCAGAGGAATTATGTCCTAATCGAAGTCCATAACAACAAAAAAAACCCTA